TTCTTTTTGCTTATGTGGTGCTGAGGAATCGAACCCAGGGCCTCAGGCATGCAAGGCAAGTGCTCTACCACTGAGCCACCTTCCCAGCCCAAGTCTGTGAGACTCTTATCTGCGCACCCCCCGGCACTGGACGCCCGTGTGTCCACGCCGGGACCGCCGCCGCGCCCCTGGCCGCCCACCTGGGCGCTCGGGCACCCGCCGATGGCACCTGTGTGCCCAGCCCTGGGGCAGACGGTCCCGTGCACCCCGCCACTCACACCAGCTCCGGGTCCGCGTGGAACGATGTTTGGTGGTGTACGTGATCGGTTTAGGTATTTGGGTATTAACCGGGGTACAAGATTTTGGTTTTGAGACAGAATCTCAGTGTAGACTGCGCTGACCTCGAACTCCTGTTCCTCCCGCCTCAGCCTCCTAAATGCTGGGGTTGCAGGCTTGTGCCACCATGCTGGGTTGAACTCAGGCTTCTCGATCTGAGGTCTAAGGTTGTGTCTAGCGATGCAGAACTGCATATTTATGGCATTCACACCCAGCCTCTCCGCCACCCTCCCTCTGGGTGAACGGTGCAGTAATGGACTCGGCTTCCGCTGGGAGGAAAGAGACTGAGACCTTCTCTGCTGCTCCCAAAGCTGGGCCGGGACACCTGCTGCTCAGCGGGCTCTGCCCTGCAGGAAACTTGATACTTACTCCTCCAGGGAGCCAGTCCGCTGGTTACCCTGGGAGGGGCTTAGCCCCTCATCGCGGGTTTCAATTACTTCTCACAGGTGCCCGAGAGGGGCTTCAGGGTGAATGGGGGAAAAGAATGAGGGATGGAGTAGATGTCACTGTGCAGGTAGTGACCTCTCCCTGTGGCCCTAAGAATTCCAGTAATAGGGGAATTCTGAGGAGCCTTCTAAAATCATTTTATATGTAGTTTTAGTTTAGTTTTTTTTTCCCCCATCTCTTTTTGCAGTTCTTGGGATTTACCACTTGACCTTTATCACATCTCTTAGTCGTGTGTGTGTGTGTGTGTGTGTGTGTGTGAATCCAAGCAAGTGAAAACAATTTAGAAATGTATAAAGGGAGACCTGCCTGCCCTCTCTTTTCCTTAGCCCAGTAGTAACTTTCTGTCTTCCTCTGTGTGTGCTGTTGTTGTTGTTGGCTGTTTCTATGCAACTTTATGAAGCATTTTGTAGGTTGGCTTTTACAAAAGGGGAATTCTACAATATGCCTAGTATAACCGTCAGCCTACTGTTATGGTGTTTGTTGTTTTGTTTTGATACAAGGTCTTGCTATGAAGCCCAGGCCAGAAGACTTGGCCTGAAATTCTCGATTCTTTTTTTTTTTTGGGGGGGGTCCGGTCGTGGGGTCTGAACTCTGGGCCTGGGCGCTGTCCCTCAGCTCTTCAGCTCAAGGCTAGCGCTCTACCACTTGAGCCACAGAGCCACTTCCGGCTTTTTTCTTTTTGCTTATGTGGTGCTGAGGAATCGAACCCAGGGCCTCAGGCATGCAAGGCAAGCGCTCTACCACTGAGCCACCTTCCCACCCCCTTGGCCTGAAATTCTCTATCTTCTTGCTTCAGCCTCCTAGGCCATGGGATTACAGACCTGCACCACCATGCCTGGCCCTAAAATCTGCTTTTTTATGTTTGCTCTATCCTGAGGCTCTTTGTATGTATTTGTAGCATGAGGTCATTTTTGTAATGGCTACATAATATTCACATCACTTTGTGTATTTTATTCCTCCATTTATTTATTTAGCACTGTTTTGTGTTTGTACTGGGGCTTGAACTCAGGGCCCTGTATTCTTGCTTAGCTTTTTTACTGAAAGTTAACACTGTACCTCTTAAGCTACACCTCCACTTTTGGCTTTTTGCTAGTTCACTGGAGATAAGGGCCTGGTGGATTTGTCTACCTGGACTGGCTTGGAACCTCCATCATCAGATCTCAGCCTCCTGTCTAACTAGGATTACAGTTGTGAGCCACCAGCCCTCAGCTAAGTCCATGAGACTCATCTCCACTTAACAACCAAGAAGCCGGAGGTAGAGCTGTAGCTTCAGCGGTAGAGTGCTAGCCTTGAGCCCCAAAGCTAAGGGACAACGCCCAGGCCCTGAGTTCAAGCTGCAATACTGGCACAAAAATAAACTAAAGAGAATTAAGGTCAGTGATGATGGAGGCTGTGGGGCAGGGAGGGCTGTGGGGAGGTGAGGTCTGAGCCGAGCCCCTGGGGACCCTGGTGTGTGTTTACTCCATGTCTCTTACGTTTAGCTCCAAACTGATGGACATTGGATGGGCCGGAGGCAGGGATGGTCGGCTATGACCCCAAAGCAGATGTCAGAAATAACTCCAAGTTGGAGGTGGCGGTGGCAGGGTCTGTGTCTGGATTTGTCACTCGGGCGCTGATCAGCCCCTTGGACGTCATCAAGATCCGTTTCCAGGTACCGCTTTCCCCCCTCATTTTCCGTGTCATGGGCTGGAAGACCGGTTGAGTCTTTCTTGCAAAAGCAGGTCCTCACACTTGCCATTCTGTGAGAGCAAAGTGTTGACGCACACGCTGCCTGTCCTGAAATGTCCCTTCTCACTCCTGCTGACCCCCTCCTGACCTTTCCATCCTGACCTTTCCACCTTTGATCCCTAGCTTCAGGTGGAGCGCCTGTGTCGAACTGACCCCAACGCAAAATACTATGGCATCCTCCAGGCCTGCAGGCAGATCTTCCAGGAGGAGGGCCTAGCAGCCTTCTGGAAAGGACACATTCCAGCCCAGTTTCTCTCCATAGGCTATGGAGCAGTCCAAGTAGGTGGCAGGGGACCCGGCCTGGCCCCCTGGGGCCATATTACACAGTGGAGGGGCCTGAGGGAGGGCCAGACAAGCAGGAGCACTGCCTTTGGTGGCAGGGAGTGGCGGTGCCCACCCTGCCTGCTTGCCTGAATGGAAAAGCCTGCCTGGCTATTTGAAGACGTCATCAGGCTGAGCCTTAACTTAGACACGCTCCCTCCCATGTCCCCACTGGCCATCCTGGTGACGCAGGTTTTGTACCCAGGAGACCAGCTTGACACTATGTCCTCACTGGCTTGGCAAAGGGCAATACTGAGGCCTTACATTATTTGAAATAGTACCATCAGCCATGTGCATCATTTGAATTCATAGCTGCACTGAGAAGGTGGACCAGGGATTACCAAGATGTCAGCTTGGTGCAGAGGCCTTAGGCCTGTGCACAGTGGGGCTGGGATTGCCACTGAAGCCTCTTACTTCTGGTCATTCATTCCTTTTGCTGACTGCCTGTGTATCTCATGGCCTTTCTGCCATGTTTCCTGGCACATGAGGCTGTGTATGTAAATGCCAGCCCTCACACAGCGCAGACTATGGGCCACACCCCTATTTCAAGCTCTTCCCCTGCCTGATCTCCCAGCAGTCCTTTGAGGTAAGTTCTGTTGTTGATCCACTTTTGCAGAAGAGACACAGCCAGTCATAAATGAAAAATTAGCAAAGATACAAGGCAGGTAGCTCAATGGTAGCTCAATGGTAGAGTGGGAACTTAGCATGCAGATAGATGTGAGGTGCTGGGTTTGCTCCCTAGCATGGCAAAATGTAGCTGAATCCAGTGGGGTGCTGGTGGCTCACACCTGTAATCCTAGCAACTCAAGAGCTTGAGAGCTGAGGATCCACCTACCTGTTTAAAGTCAGCCCAGGCAGGAAAGTCTGTGAGACTTTTTTTTTTTTTTTTTTTGGGTCCGGTCGTGGAGCCTGAACTCTGGGCCTGGGCGCTGTCCCTCAGCTCTTCAGCTCAAGGCTAGCGCTCTACCACTTGAGCCACAGCGCCACTTCTGGCTTTTTTCTTATGTGGTGCTGAGGAATCGAACCCAGGGCCTCGAGCATGCAAGGCAAGTGCTCTACCACTGAGCCACCTTCCCAGCCCAAGTCTGTGAGACTCTTATCTGCAATTACTCAGCAAAAAGCCCCAGAAGGGGGCTGGGAAGGTGGCTCAGCCAAACTGAGCAGGAAAGTCTGTGAGACTCATCTCTAATAAACAATTCAGAAAAAGCTGGAAGGCCAGGTACTGACTGGTGGCTCGTGCCTGTATTCTAGTAACTCAAGAGGCTGAGATCTGAGGATCAGCAAGCAGTTCAAAGCCAGCCTGGGCAGAGATTCTTAGCTCCGATTAACCACTCAAAAATCCTAAGTGGTGCTTTGGCTCAAAGTGGTAGACCATGGCTAGTCTTGAGTGAAAGAGCTCAAGGACAGAACCTAGGCCCTGAGTTCAAGCCCCACGACCAGCAAAAAGGAAAAAAGAAAAAACTGGATATAGAACTGTGGCCCAAGTGGTAGAGCACTCACCTTGAGCAAAAGCATTTCAGGACAGTACCTAGGCCCTGCATTCAAGCCGAGAGCCTGCACACACACACACACACACACACACACACGCACGCGCGCACACACACACACACACACACACACACACACACACACACACCTAATTTTTGTTTTTTTTTTTTGTCAGTCATGGGGCCTGAACTCTGGGCCTGGGTGCTGTCCCTCAGCTCTTCAGCTCAAGGTGAGCACTCTACCACTTGAGCCACAGCACCACTTCCGGTTTTGTGGTTTATTGGGGATAAGATTCTCAGGGCTTTTCCTGCCCAGGATTGGCTTTGACCCGAGATCCTCAGATCTCAGCTTCCTGAGTAGCTAGGATGACAGGCGTGAGCCACTGGGCGGCTTTTATTTTATTTTTAAGGCAGAAACAGGATCCCCTGGCAGCTTGTGCTAGAGTCAGCCTTGGCTGCTGCCCTGAGAACAACACAGCCATTGTTGGAGTCAAATGTGGGAGGAGAGGACGGACCTCTGCCCCCCTCCCCCATCCTCCCTCCCCTGGTATACTGAGATACCCCAGCGGGGTGATGAAGTTCAGGAGCCCTACCCTTTCGGGCTGGGAAGGGTCTGAGTGCAGGCCTTCCACATGTAACGTGGTCCCTGAGGAGGAGCCAGAGGAGGCTAGTTCTCCCAGTGCATGGCCTGCGGGGCTCTGGGGTCTCAGCCTCACCAGTGGCTGTCTTTCCCCAGTTCTCAGAAAGGTAAGTGAATGAAAGCAGTTTTCTGATAGAAAATTTTCTCTTAAGCCAGTTGTGGTGCATGCCTGTAATCCCAGCAATAGGGAGGCTGAAATACTAGTATGTCAAGTTCAAGACCAGCCTAGGCTGCTACAGAGTGAAACACTGTCTCAAAAGGCAAAACAAGCCAGGTGCCGGTGGCTCACACCTGTCATCTTAGCTACTCAGGAGGCTGAGATTTGAGGATCAGGGTTCAAAGCCAGCCTGGGCAGGCAAGTCCATGAGACTCATCTCCAATTAACCACCAGAAAACCAGAAGTGAAGCTGTGGCTTAAAGTGGTAGAGGATTAGCCTTGAGCAGAAAAGCTCAGGGATGTCACCCAGGTCCTGAGTTCAAGCCCCATGACCAAGGGAGGAAAAAAAGCAACACAAGTCCTTTCTAATAAATTTTCCTATCATTTACACTACAAAACAACAACAACAAAAAAAACAACTGGGCATAGTGACTCCTGCCTGCCTAATCCTAGCTACTTGGAAGGTTTAGATGGGGAAAATTGTAGTTGTAGCGCAGCCTGGATACAAAAGTTCACGAGACCTCCATTTCAGCAGAAAAAGCTAGGGATGATAAGAGTTGCACAGATATTTCTGCTATAGTCCCCAGATTCCAGCCTCCTCAGTAGGCCCGCGCTGCTAGGGCCTGGCTGGCTTTTTTTGTGTGTGGTACTTGCTAGGCAAGCAAGCCACTCCAACCTGCTCTATAGACTTTCTTCTTTTTCTTTATCATTATTATTATCATTTTATTTTTTTGTCAGTTGTGGGGCCAGAACTCTGGGCCTGGGGGCTGTCCCTCAGCTCTTCAGCTCAAGGCTAGAGCTCTACCACTTGAGCCACAGCGCCACTTCCGGCTTTTTCTGTTTATGTGGTGCTGAGGAATCGAACCCAGGGCCTCATGCATGCAAGGCAAGCACTCTACCACTGAGCCACCTTCCCAGCCCCCGATAAGTCAGTGTTTATGTCAATGCATTTTTTTGTTGTTTTGGTCAGAGACTGGAACTTAAACTCAGTATCTGATGCTTTTGCTCATTGGCTAGCATTCTACCAACTGAGCCATGTGAAAAAACTGTACAGAGGGGTTACAATTACCTGGGCAAGGTAATGAGTACATTTCTTATCAAGCATAGTTGCCTCCTCCTTTGTTTCCCCTTCCCATCTCCCCCTCCCACAATGCATCTTGATGAGTGTCACTCCTGTCCTTCTCCAGCCCCACCCATCCATCCCCTCATTATGTAGATATAAGATGTACATTGAATATGACTGAAAGAGAGATGACAAAGTCAACAACAGCCTTAAGAATGAATACAGAGGCCTCTCTACCTTTCTCTATTCCTCTGCACTAGCTGTTTTTGAGATGGGGGGGGTCTCAGTTTTTTTGCCCAGGCCCACTCCTGGGCCACCATCTGCCCATCTCATACTTCCACTGTGGCAGGGATGACAGGCACACGCCACCGCCTCCGGGTGTGGGTTGAGATGGGGTCTTGCCTCAAACGTGGGCCTCCTGATGTTAGCCTCCCAAGGAGCGAGGGTTCGGGTGTAACTCTCCACCCCGCCCCCCATGCTGCTTAAAGGTGACACCCTGTATTTTCCTTGGGCGTCCTGGGGTTCGAACGGAGCGCCCCGTGCTTGCCGGGCACCGGCGCAGCGTCCCCGGGGTGGGCTGGGGTCCGGCTGCATGCGCGCTCACGCTCGCCCTGCTCTCTCTGGCCGCCGTGCCGTGTTACAGTTCCTCTCGTTCGAGCAGCTGACGGAGCTGGTGCACAAGGCCCACAAGCTGAGCGCGCACGAGTACTCCATCCACTTCCTGTGCGGCGGCCTGTCCGCCTGCGCCGCCACGCTCACCGTGCACCCCGTGGACGTGCTGCGCACGCGCTTCGCCGCCCAGGGCGAGCCCAAGGTGAGCGCGGGGGGGGGAACAGCATCGGGGAAGCAAGGTCATCCGGCAGGGGTCGGACTCCCTGACAGGGCCAGGGATTGAACCCGGACTTGACCTCCACCCTGATCTCCACCCTGACCTCAAGTGGAGGTATTTAAAAGTAGCATCCGCCAGACTCAGTGGTACACACTTAAGCCTAGCACACACGAGGTGGAAAGCAGGAGGGTCGTAAGTTCTAGACCAACCTGGGCTATATAGCAAGACCATTAAAAAAAAAAAAAAAAGAGAGAGCCTGGGTGCCAGTGGCTCGTGCCTATTATCCTAGGTGCCCCGGGGCTGAGATCTAAGGACTGCAGTTGGAAGCCAACCTGGACAGGAAAGGCCACATGAGACTCATCTCCACTTAACCACTAAAGGCCACAAGTGCTAGGGAACTAGCCCTGAGCCCTAAAGCCACAGACAGGGCCTAGGCTCCCAGTTCAAGCCCCAGGACCGGGGGACCCCCCTCAAAAACAAAAATGCTTACCATAAAAATGATGAACAAGCTGGGTACCTGTGGCTGATGCCTGTAATCCTAGCTACTCAGGAGGCTGAGATCTGAAGATTGCAGTTCAAAGTCAGCCCTGGCAGGAAAGTCCATGAGACCGGAAGTGGTGCTGTGGCTCAAGTGCTCGCCTTGAGCTGAAGAGCAAGGGACAGCGCCCAGGCCCAGAGTTCAAGCTCCATGACCACCCCCCCCAAAAAAAAAAAAAAGATCAAAGAGGGCTGGAAATGTGGCTTAGTGGCAGAGTGCTTATTTAGTGTACATAAAGCCCTGGGTTCCATTGCTTAGCACCACATAAACAGAAAAAGCCAGAAGTGGTGCTATGGCTCAAGTGGTAGAGTGTTAGCTTTGAGCCAGTGCTAGCTTTGAGGGACAATGCTTAGGCCCTGAGTTCAAGCCCCAGGACTGGTTTAAACAAACAAACAAAAAGAGCTGGGTGCTCGGTGGCTCACGCCTGTAATCCTACTCAGGAGGCTGAGATCTGAGGACCAGGGTTCAAAGCCAGCCTGGGCAGGTAAGTCTGTATTATCTCTAGTAAACCACTAGAAAACCAGAAGTGGTTCAAGTGGTAGAGCACTCACCTTGAGTTGAAGAGCACAGGGACAGTGCCCAGGCCCAGAGTTCAAAGCCCCACGACCAGACCACCACCAACAACAACAAAAGCCAGGCACTGGTGGCTCACAGTTGTAATCCTAATTACTCAGGATGCTGAGATCTGAGGATCAAGGTTCAAAACCAGCCTGGGCAGAAAAGACCATGAGACTCTTATCTCCAATTAACCACCAGAAACCAGAAATGGAGCTGTGTCTTAAAGTGCTGCTAGCCTTAAGCGAAAGAGCTCAGAGACAGGGCTGGGAATATGGCTTAGTGATAGAGTGCCTACACAGCACACATGAAGCCCTGGGTTCCATTCCTCAGTGCCAAATACACAGAAAAAGCCAGACGGAGACTGAGCAGCAGAAGCTCAGGAACAATGCTTAGGCCCTGAGTTCAAGCCCCAGGACCAGCAAAAGAAAAAAACAAAAAAATGCACCCCCCATGCCCTTTGGGGAACATACCTTTGTTTTTGTTTGTTTGTTTTTTTTTTCCAGTAATGGGGCCTGAACTCTGGGTCTGGGCGCTGCCCCTGAGCTCTTCAGCTCAAGGCTTGCATTCTACCACTTGAGCTACAGCGCCACTTCTAGTTTTCTGGTGGTTAATTGGAGATGAGTCTGAAGGACTTTCCTGCCCAGGCTGGCTTTGAACCGTGTTCCTCAGACCTCAGCCTCCTAAGTAGCTAGGATTACAGGCATGAGTGGTCTTTGTTCTTGGCTTTTGCTTTCTAGAAGCTGAAAAGCAAAATGGTAGCTCTGGGCAGGATCTTTGTTCTTGCTGGTGGCCTTCCCTTAGGGCCTGGCACCTTCAAAGAGGCCCCCAGGGTGGAATCCTTTTGGAATGGCTGCCAGAACTCTAGAAAGCAGGCAGCAAGAAGTGCAGATCTAGCCTGGCGCTGGTAGCTCACATCCTAGCTACTCAGGAGGCTGAAATCTGAGGATTGTGGTTCAAAGTCCCTATGAGACTCTTATCTCCGATTAACCACCAGAAAACTGAAAGTGGTGCTGTGGCTCCAAGTGGTAGAGCACTAGCATTCAGCAGAAGAGTTCAGGGACAGCCCCTAGGCCCTGAGTTCAAGCCCCACAAAAAGAATGGTATATAGTCCCTCTTACCCTGCCCTCTCGAACCATCCCTGCCCCTCACCCCTCCAGGCGATGATCACTGTGTGCCCTTGTGGGGCAGAGTCACCCCATACGATCTGTTTGACAAGCGGGACATCTGCTCTGGTGTGGGCTGCTGTGTTAGTTGCCCTCTGGGGAGATTGCCCCCCCCCCCAGTCCTGTGTAACAGTTCTTGTGGAGCCAAGACTCATCCTTTAAGGAATCCTCGCCTCTCAGCTGGACACCCTTTCTCCTGTTGTTCCTTGGGGTGCTGCGGTGACTCCTTGGAACCATGCTTTTGTGAACACATATGGAAATGACAGTGGAGTAGATGTCTTTTTTTTTTTTTTCAGTTGTGAGGCTTGAACTCTGGGCCTGGACACTGTCCCTGAGCTCTTCAGCTCAAGGCAAGAGCTCTATTACTTTGAGCCACAGCACTACTTCCAGTTTTCTGGTGGTTAATTGGAGATAAGAGTCTCACGGGGGCTGGAAGTTGGCTCAGTGGTAGAGTGCTTGTCTCCCATGCATGAGGCTCTAAGTTCGATTCCTCAGCACCACATAAGCAGAAAAAGCTAGAAGTGGTGCTGTGGCTCTAGTGATAGAGTGCTTGCCTTGAGCTGAAGAGCCGAGGGATAGTGCCCAGGCTCAGAGTTCATGCTCCACAACCAACCAAAAAAAAAAAGTCTAACAGGCCCGGGCTGGTGTCAAGCGGAGATCCTCAGATCTCAGCCTCTTGAGTAGCTAGGATTACAGGCGTGAGCCACCAGCGCCCAGCCTAGCATTTTGTTTACTTGTTTAGCAGGAGAAATTAGGCCCCTGGAAGCCGGGTTTGGGGTGAAGGGAAGCTGTGATGGGCAGATCTCGGGTCAAAATGACTTGACTGGACTGGCTCAAGTTGCACCTGTGTGTGTCCAGGTCTATAAGACCCTGCGAGACGCCGTGTCGACCATGTACAGGACTGAGGGCCCCTTGGTCTTCTACAAAGGTTTGGCCCCCACCATGATTGCCATCTTCCCCTATGCCGGGCTCCAGTTCTCCTGTTACCGCTCCTTGAAGCACGCCTACAACTGGGTCTTCCCTGCTGACCAAAACCAGACGGGTAAGCCAGCCCAGCCCAGCCCAGGCCAGCCCAGGCCAGGCCCTCTTTCTGTATCCCTGAGAGAAGGGGTCATGGCGGGAGCGGAGGCCCCACCGCTCCCCAAACTTGCCCTGCAGTGTGGCTGAGGATGCACACAAACCCAGCCATCCCTGCTGTATCCAAAATCCATTCCCAGTAATTGGTCCTGGTGTTCAGTTTTTGTCAGGAGTTCAGCTTGTAACTTGGAGCCAGGTTCCAATTGTTGGTGCCTGTAATCCTATCAGGAGACTGAGATTTGACTATCCTGGTTCAAAGCCAGCCTGAGTAGGAAATTCCATGGGATTTTTTTTTTGGGGGGGGCAGTCCTGGGGCTTGAACTTGGGCCTGGGTGCTGTCCCTCAGCTCTTCAGCTCAAGGCAAGCGCTCTACCTCTTGAGCCACAGTGCCACGTCTGGTTTTCTGGTGGTTTATTAGAGATAGAGTCTCAGGGGCTTTTCCTGCCTGGGCTGGCTTTGAACCGTGATCCTCAGATCTCAGCCTCCTGAGTAGCTAGGATTACAGGCGTGAGCCACCAGTGCCCGGCTTTCTTTTTTTTTTTTTCCTCTTTTTTTTCTTGGTCATGAGGCTTGAACTTAGGGCCTGGGCGCTGTCCCCTGAGCAACTTTTGCTCAGCTAGCAGTCTACACTTTGAACCACAGTGCCACTTCTCACTGACTTTCCTAAGTAGCTAGGATTACAGGCGTGAGTCACCTGTGCCTACCTATGTGTGACTTTGTGCTTGGGCAGGGAGGCACCCCTGGATCCCTCTCCAGCCTGGAGCCCAGTCCAGTGGCTGAGTCCCTAGGCCTCCAGCGGGGGAACTGGTCAGTGAAACTCTCGTCCTGCTGTTGGGCCTGGCCAGCGGGAGGCCTGCCATCACTCTTGTCCAGTGGCTCTCTCCGGCTCTGGCTCCTAGGTTAAATTCCCCGCTGTGATTGTATGATACTGTAGTGTAGTGCAGGATTAGGCCTGAGTACCTTGAAGTCCTCCAGGGTCACTTGTATTCCTCTCACATTCACTTCTGTGGCTCAGGGACCATCAAAAGCCTGATTTGTGGCTGTGGAGCTGGAGTCATCAGCAAGACCTTTACGTATCCCCTGGACCTCTTCAAGAAGCGGCTACAGGTTGGAGGGTTCGAGCACGCCCGATCTTCCTTTGGCCAGGTGAGCTACTGGCATTTAGACAGCTCCAACTTTTGCCCTCACTGGGCTCATGGAGGGACTGGCAGTCAGCTCCTTCCCTGGGCAGCCCTGGCCTGGCCCCCTCGGCTTGTCCCCTGTAGCTTTATTTCCTTACATAACTCAATACAGGTGTGTGTACCGTTTAACAAAAAATGAGGTTTCAGGGCTGGGAAGGTGGCTCAGTGGTAGAGTGCTTGCCTTGCCTGCATGAGGCCCTGGGTTCTATTCCTCAGCATCACATAAGCAGAAAAAGCTGGAAGTGGTGCTGTGGCTCAAGTGGTAGAGTGCTAGCCTTGAGCTGAAGAGCTGAGGGACAATGCCCAGGCCCACAGTTCAGGCCCCATGACCGACAGGAAAAAAAAAAAAAAGAGGATTCAGGCAGGAAATGTGGCTTAGTGGTAGAGTGCTTAACTAGTATACATGAGGCCCTGATTTCAATTCCTTGGTTCCACATACACACAGACAGGAGCAGTAATATGTCAGTGATTAAAGCATTGAAATTAAAAACAAAGAAAAAAAAGCATTCACTGAATGCAAGAGTTGGTTTTTTGTTTTTGTGTTTGTTTGTTTGTTTTTTTTGTCTGTTGGGAGCTTGAACTTTGGGCCTGGGCGCTGTCCTTCAGCTCTTCAACTCAAGGCAAACGCTCTACCACTTGATCCACAGCGCCACTTCCAGTTTTCTGAGTGGTTTATTGGAGTTAAGAGTCTCACAGAAAAAAAAAAAAAGAGTCTCACAGACTTTCCTGCCCGGGCTGGCTTTGAACCACAGTCCTCAGATCTCAGCCCGCTGAGTAGCTAGGATGACAGGCGTGAGCCACTGGCACCCGGCTGAATGCAAGATTCTGTAACCTTTCTGTGTTTACCTGTTTGTTCTGAAGAGACAACTGTAATTGGACAGGGAGCCATGCCCAGAGCCCAGGGCAAAGGATGGAGGGTCTGCTCCCCATGGAGTTCTGCGCTGTGTTTGGCGGGGGGTGGGGGACGCTTCTAGAAGACTGGTGGGAGCTCTGTCAGGGAGGAAGTACCGGCCAGATGGTGGAATGTCTCAGCACGCAGGTCTTGGAGCTTGGACTTGACTCTGTCCTCAGCATCATTAGGGAAGGCAGAAGGGCATAGGGAGGGCCGGGCCTTAGCATCGCGCCAGTGTGTGGGGTCACCTGGAGGCAGTGAGGCCAAGGAGAGGTGGGCACGGTGGGGCGCCAGCTAGCAGTGGCACCTTCAGATCTGCTACTGGAGAGCAGTGGTCACCGGATCTTCCAGAGCCAGGGTCAACCCCTGCCTCAGAGGGAAGGTGCTCTGCCCTGCAGCCAACTGGCAGGCCCTCCCTTCAGCCCAATTTAGTCTACTTAGACTAGAAAGAATGAGGGTGAGCTGGGCTCCAGTGGCTCACGCCTGTATCCTAGCTGAGATGTGAAAATTGAAGTTCAAAGCCAGCCTAGATAGGGAGGAAAGGAAGAAAAGGAGGGAGGGAGGGGAAAGAGGGAGAGGGAGAGAGAAAGGGGGCAGAGTGAGAGAGGGAGGGAGGAAGAGAGGGAGAGAGAGAAAGAGAAAGAGGGGCCTGGGAATGTGGCTTAGTGGTAGAGTGCTTGCCTAGCATGCATGAAGTCCTGGGTTCAATTCCTTAGTACCACATAAACAAAAAAAGCCAGAAGTGGTGCTGTGGCTCAAGTGGTAGAGTACTAGCTTTGAGCCAAAGAAGCTCAGGGACAGTGCCCAGGTCCTGACTTCAAGCCCCAGGAATGGCCAAAAAAAAAAAAAGAAAAAAAAAGAAAATTCCTGGGGTTTGAATCAGGGCCTGGGCACTAACCATAAACTGTTTTGCTCAAGTCTAGCACTCTACCATTTGAGCCACAGCTCCATTTCCAGCTTTTTTTTTTTTTTTTGTCAGTCACGGGGCCTGAACTCTGGGCCTGGGCGCTGTCCCTCAGCTCTTCAGCTCAAGGTGAGCGCTCTACCACTTGTGCCACAGCGCCACTTTCAGTTTTCTGAGTGGTTTATTGGAGATAAGAGTCTCACAGACTTTCCTGCCCAGGCTGACTTTGAATGGTGATCCTCAAATCTTAGCCTCCTGAGTGGCTAGGATTACAGGTGTGAGCCACCAGCACCTGGCCATTTCTAACTTTTGTGCTAGTTTATTGGAGATAAGAGTCTCATGGACTTTTCTGCCCTGGCTGGCTTTGAGCGGTTATTCTCTGATCTCAGCCACCTGAGTGGCTGAGTGATTACAAGCATGAGCCCCGTGCCCAGCTTGCATCCCCCCCTTTTTTTTTTTGGTCAGTCATGGGGCCTGAATTCTGGGCCTGGGCGCTGCCCCTCAGCTCTTCAGCTCAAGGCCAGCGCTAGCAGTGGTCACTTTCAGATCTGCTACTGGAGGGGATCAAACAGAGTGGTCACAGGATCTTTCAGAGCCAGGGTCAATCCCTGCCTCAGTGGGAAAGAGTTCTCCCACTTGAGCAACAGCGCCACTTCCAGCTTTTTCTGCTTATGTGGTGCTGATGACTCGAACCCAGGGCCTCATGCATGCAAGGCAAGCACTCTACCACTGAGCCACTTTCCCAGCCCCATGCATTCCTATATTTCCCCCCCTGCTACTCTTGGGTCTAGGCACTGTCCCTGGGCTTCTTTTGCTCAAGGCTAGCACTCTACAACTTGACCCACGGTACCACTTCCCACTTTTTCTGTTTATGTGGTACTGAGGAATGGAACCCGGGGCTTCATGCATGTTAGGGAAGCACTCTACCACTGAGCCACATTCCTAGCCAGCATCCCTATTTCAATCTTGGCCTCCCTCCTAAACCTTCTTCTTCTCCCCAGGTGCGGACCTATAAGGGCCTCCTGGACTGTACCAAGCAGGTGATGCAACATGAAGGCATGCGGGGCTTCTTCAAGGGCCTGTCCCCCAGCCTGCTGAAGGCCGCCTTGTCCACAGGCTTCATGTTCTTCTGGTACGAGTTCTTCTGTAACCTCCTCTACTGTATCCGGAGGGAGGACAGTTAGCTCAGAGGACAGGAGGGGCCTCCAGTGGAGGCTGCCTCCTCAAAGAAACAAGAGTTACCCGCTGAGCTCCTGTGGCTCTGAGGGCTGCAGCCTGCTGTGCCCTCTAGGCCAGCTTTCTGGAGTCACCGAGAAGGTGGCCGCCTGGACCCAGCCGGCTGAGACCCCCAGCAGAAGGGCAAAGGCCTTCTCCTTGGGAAGTGCTGGGAAAACGAAGCCCATGGCTGGGGGCAGGACAGCGCTGGGACAGAGCAAGCGGCTGTGGCTTCTCCTTTGTTCAGGCCAGACCTGCCTCCTCTGAGATACCTTCCTCCTCCGGAAACGGAAACGCGCCTGGCTCTGGCTCAGAAGCGCAGCTTGAGGGCTGAGAGAGCACTGGGACTGGGCTCTCTTAGGAGGGTGCCCCTCCCCCCCAGGGCTGTTCCCTCCCCCCCAACTTATTTAACAGACATTAAAGCTACAAGCACATTCCTTCTTCCCGCACCTTCCTTTGAGAGCCACCGCCCTGAACACGGCGTGAAGGAAGGGCCCCCCACGCTTCTGGCTCAACTTTTATCCTAGGCTGACTGGTTTCCCAAAGCCCCAAGTCAAGAAGGTTGAGTCTGCAAAGGCATTGGCACCCAGGCCTTCTCTCTCTCTCTCTCTCTTTTTTGTCAGTCATGGGCTTGTGAGTGCTGTCCCTCTGCTCTTCAGCTAGCGCTCTACCACTTGAGCCACAGCGCCACTTCCGGCTTTTTTCTTTTTGCTTATGTGGTGCTGAGGAATCGAACCCAGGGCCTCATGCATGCAAGGCAAGCGCTCTACCACTGAGCCACCTTCCC